TACTGCTCTATAAGGACAAATATGCCTCAGTCTCACTAACTCCGATCTCTGCTGCTGTTACTGTCTTTCAGGAGGAGGGGTTTGGAAATCACTCCTCCCAGCTAGGAGGATTTCAAGTCCAGAAGTACCTAGATCCATTCTGAAATCCTTTGCTCCTCTGGACCATATTTAAACAGGTTCTTAACTTTCAGCATGTGTTGACATACAGTCTAGAAGAAGGGATCAAATTTCTTTCGTTTTGGAAAATCACAAAGAAAAGACTTGCTTATTCTTGTAAAAGCACAGTGATTCACTGCAGTCCACAGAGCAAACATCGCCTCGGTCAGTGCAGGTAACAGGCACACATTAAACTCTTCATCTCAGTGTTTCTTGCTGGTCAATGAACTATGTGGTGTTAATTTAGCAAGATCTACTAGGCTGCATCTTTTAACTCTGTCAGTGTGTTTTAGGAAGTGATGAGGCCTCTCAGGACATTTATTTAACACATTATAATGCTTCATAGAACTGCGAGATTATGTATCATTGAAAAGAAAAAAAAAAGATACGGTAGGTTAACCAGCCCATTTACCTACCATTGTGAGAAGGGGACTTCACAGTATTTTCCTGCCAGATTCTCAGTGTTTTGATGTGCTGAGCTTTCCCTGTATATCTGGAGAGATGCTTCCATATCCCAGTACCGGTTAGAGTTCTGTTCGGAGATGATGCTCATCCTTTCATCTGACAAAAGTCACAGATTCTTCATAGCCGACCTTGAATACAGACTTTCCTGATTTATTGGTGATTTCCCAGTATTTCCCTTGCCTCCTTCCTGGCTTGTGGACGCATGTGACACAACAGGGAAAGGCTGGGGAGCAGGACTGGAAAAAAAAAAATCACACTCTTTTAGTGTACAGTACTATGCCCTTAATTTTAGAATTGGCTGGTATTGCTCTGCAGGGACTCTTGGCTAATTAAAGTTCAGATAGTTAGATAATGCTGTCTCAACATATATCCCTGATGCTGTGCTGTTTATTCATGTCAGGTATTCATAAGACAGTTGACATTTTCTTCCTTAAGATCTCTCAGGTAAATTACAGGCATTTTACGGCTCTGACCTTTTCCTTTACATGAAGAACTTCTGTTTTCACCATTTTTTTTGAGAATACAATGTTAGAACGGATGTAATTGGAGAGGTGTAGTTGTTCTAGTCGGTATGGTTGGGCTATTACCTGTAATGATCCTCTAATAATGGTATTTATAAGTGATTATCTCTTACTAAACTACTTTAAATTTAAAGAAAAAGCCAGACTGTTTCACTGAATGGTTTTGGTGAATCACCTTTTCCCTTCCTTTCCATGAATACTACATTTGCTTTCCTAACACATTCATTTTGTGCCTAAGTCTTAGGGAGATGGCTTGCTCTATTAATGTATTTCTGGAGTTCTCCTGTTATGAATAGCCCTTTATGGCTTTAATGTAGTTTTTGAAAATTCCTCTATTATTGATCTAGATATTATCCCAGCAGGAGTCAAAACCACAAGACAATTGTGTGAGGATAATTTCTTACTACAGTAGCATTTTATTCTGAAAGCCTGCTGTGTGGTGTGTGCTTTGATGGATGACCCACTGTTTAAAATGTGTATTAGACATTGGCTTGCTAATTAAATGCCTTAAGGAGCGCCTGTACCCATTCAGTCTCAGTAAATTTTCAGAATTTCTATCATTTTATTTCTTGTTTACGTTCTTATGTTTACTTCTTTCTGTTTTCTGACTTTGTAGAGAAGAATGGGAGTAATGGCAAAAAATCAAATTACTTTCTACCCTTACTCAAGAGTTTCAGCTCAGGGCAGAGGTGAGACAATGAGAGCTCTCGGTTTCAGAACTAGGTCTGCCAGATGGGAGGATGAGGAGGAGAAGAGGTGGGTTTTGCATTTCAGAAGGGAGTGAGAAGAGCACTCACCTGGAATTTGAGAGATCTGAATTTGGATCCCTCTTTCCTCCTGAAGGACCATCTCCCACATCTCAGAAGAGGACCATAATTACAAAGCTGTGGGATGCTCTCAGACTTCTCTGTTGAAGTGCCTGTGCTTGAAGCATTTTACTGGGAGGGAGAATATGAGACCATTCATACTGAAGAAAGTGGATAAAGTTATTCTCCTAATCTCTGAGCTGTTAAATTGAAAGAATAGCCAAGGAGAGGGACAGGGTCTTCTGCACACCTCCAGGAAATGTTTCCTGAGTATAATCCCCATTCCCCTTGTTGGATTTTTCTTTTTTTGTGTGTGTGGAGCAGGTATGAATCAGAAACAGCATATTTCTGTTAAGGCCAAACCCAGAATTTCTTCTACTCTGAAAGATTTGGGCTTTTTGTTCTACACAGAGGGATGTACAGAGAATCCTAGAATGGTTTGGGTTGGAAGGGACCTTTAAAGATCACGTAGTCCAACTCCCCTGCCATGATCAGGTTGCTCAAAGCCCCTTCCAGCCTAACTTTAAACACTTGCAATGATGGGGCATCCACAACTTCTCTGGGTAACCTGTTCCAGTGTCTCACCACCTCATAGTGAAGAGTTTTTTCCTTATATCCCATCTAAATCTACCCTCTTTTAGTTTAAAATCATTAGCCCTTGTCCCGTTACTACAAGTCCTGGTAAAATGCTCTCCATCTTTCTTAGAATCATAGAATGGTTTGGGTTGGAAGGAACCTTAAAGGTCACCCAGTTCCAACCCCACTGCCGCAGGCAGGGACACCTTCCACTAGATCAGGTTGCTCAAAGCCTCATCCAACCTGGCCTTGAACACTTCCAGGGATCGGGCATCCACAGCTTCTCTGGACAACCTGTTCCAGTGCCTCACCACCCTCATTGTAAAAAATTTCTTCCTTATATCTAATCAAAATCTCCCCTCTTTCCATTTAAAGCCATTGCCCCTTGTCCTATCACTACACGTCCTTGTCAAAAGTCCATCTCCAGCTTTCTTGTAGCCTGTTTAGGTACTGGAAGGCTGCTAGAAGGTCTCCCTGGAGCCTTCTCTTCTTCAGGATGATCAACCCCAACTCTCTCAGCCTGTCTTCATAGGAGAGGCGCTCCAGCCCTCAGATTATCTTTGCGGTCCTCCTGTGGACCCACTCCAACAGCTCCATGTCCTTCTTATGTTGGGGGCCTCAGACCTTAACGCAGTACTCCAGATGGAGTCCACAAAAGAAGAGTAGAGGGGCAGAATCCCCTCCCTTGACCTGCTGGCCTACACATCTTTTGATGCAGCCTAGGATATGGTTGGCTTTCTGGTCTGTAAACACACATTACTGGCTCATATCCAATGTTCCATCCATCATGTGCATGACCTTGCACTTGGCCTTGTTGAACTTAATGAAGTTCACATTGGCCCACTTCTCAAGCCTGTCAAAGTCCCTCTGAATGGCATCCCTTCCCTCAAGTGTGTCAGCTGCGCCATGCAGCTCGATGTCATCTGCAAACTTGCTGGGGGTGCACTCAGTCCCACTGTCTATGTCATTAACTCTTCCAGTCCCTGCCTTGAGATTCAGGGACTCAAGAGATGCGGGACAAGCAATTGCCAGTGAAAACTGAGGTAAAAAAAGTTGTTGGGTACCTCAGCCTCCTCCGTGTCAGTTGTCACCAGATTCCCTGTCTCATTTATCAGGCAGGGAATGAAAATACTGATTCATTTAAACCAAAGCAAACTAATCTTTTTTTCTTTTAGACACAGTAATTAATACTATATTTTAAGTATTTGAGTTGGAGACCAAGTTTGAAAAACATGATTGTTCTATAGGTTTGAGAACAAACAAGCAGGTGCGTGTGAACAAGATGACCTCCAGAGGTCCCTTCCAACCTCAACCATTCTGTGAAACCTTTAAACCCCAAATAGCTGTGTTTTTAAAAAGGAAGTCATTCCGTTTTCATTACTGTCGTCAGCTGTCTGGAAGCACAACTTGTTTTCTTTCACTGTAGCTGCTCCTTGCTTATTTGAAATAGATGGAGGCAGAATCTCTTTGTGTTCCTAAAGCAAGGCCTGGCATCAGATGCATTAGGAGGAGGAGGGTCCTTGGTTTCCTTCTGAAAGTGCTTGCAGAACACATTCAAGGCCAAATCATGATGTTATTTTCATCTATGTCCCTGCACATGTAGTTATCTGTTTCGCTCCACCCAGACAGCTCTCACTGATGCCTTCAAATAGAGAAAAGTGCCCCGTGTTCAAAATAGAAACTTTGATGGTGCGGAGAAGGTATCTGTGGTCTGAACCGGAGAAGATTATTTTATTCTCGTTAGTGAACCTTACTTTAGGCCATGGAGTAAGTGTATAGAATCAAATTAATTAAAACTAGTAGAAGCAGGCAGGAAATTAGGGAACACATCTCTCCTCAGTTGTCAGTGGGACAGTTTAGTCCAAACATGGGATTTGGAGTTTCCTAGTTGGCTTGTGGGGCTGATCTAGCGCACCCAGGCTCTCAAGGATGGGTGGTAGCGTTGTGGTGGCACTCTGTTATCTCCATGAAGCTCCTTTCCTCACCAGCACCATCCCCTTGAGGGCAATGCTAACTCCTATCCTTTCCTCCTCCTTCTCCTCCATTGGAGGAAATTGCTGATACCTGTTTATCAGGCCTATGCTGTGCTTTCCTGTAATTTATCTGACCTGTGTTTTCATGGAAGCGATTGCTTTTGGGCCGCAAAGCAGTCCCAAGGCACTTGAATACCCGAAACACTCAATTGATAATTGCATTTGGTGGTTAACTTCTTCAGGTAAAGGCACCTGGTTTCTCTGTTCAGGATGGGGTGAGAAACAGCCATGTCTGCTCCATCAAATGCTGATTTATACAGCATTTGTTATTTTGTAAGTTCAGTGCTGCAGTACGTAGAAGTGGAAACTCTCTTGCATACACTGGAGACAAGGGCAAAAAAATAAAAAAGAAAAGAAAGGAGAGAAAGGTACATTTGGGGAGGTAGAGGGGGAGGAATTTATTCTAATCCCTCTGAAATTATTATCTTGCTGAAATTTGTTAGATCTGGATGGACTAAGCCAACTGAGTTACCAAGACAACCTATCCTATCATGAAGATGACCCTGTATCTGTTGATTCAAGAACAAGAACTGAGAGCAGGGGCACTGGGCAGCATGAAGGACCTAGGATGGCATCCAGCATCGCTGGCAGCAGTAGCCGGCAAGCCGCAGAAGGACGTCTGGAAGTGGAGGCAGCATTTACCAACCAGGGATGTGAAGTAAATGATGCTACTGACAGCTCATCGGCTTGGACCCCTGAGGTATGGTGAATCGTCATTTATTACACGATACCAGCTTTTGAAGGATACTGGGGGCCAAAAATTGTTAGGGGAGAAATGAAGTGAAAAATTGATCAGCACAGCACACGATAATCACAGAATCACAGAATGTTAGGGATTGGAAAGGACCTCAAAGGATCATCTAGCCCAATCCCCCTGCCTGAGCAGGACCATTTAGATCAGGTCACACAAGAACGCGTCCAGACGGATTTTGAACATCTCCAGAGAAACAGACTCCACAACCTCTCTGGGCAGCCTGTTCCAGTGTTCTGTTACCCTTACTGGGAAGAAGTTGTTCCTCATGTTTAAGTGGAACCTCCTATGTTCCAGCTTATATCCATTTCCCCTTGTCCTATCATTGGATGCCACTGAGAAGAGCCTGGCTCCATCCTCATGGCAGTCACCCTTTACATGTTTATAAACATTAATGAGGTCCCCCCTCAGTCTCCTCTTCTCCAAGCTAATGGTGCTCCTGTGTGCATGAACATACACCCCTCTCTATATCTTTCCTCTTTTTCTTGTGTTTTATCTCTTGCTACTAACACTCATTCAGAGAAGCTGTTTTATTGCTTGACTTCTAACTGCCATCTTTGAACTGAAATTGGAGCCATTAACTGCCTGACAGCATTTACTATCATTTAGCAATGGCCCAGGGCTTTGGACTAGCTGTATGTGCAGGGTGTGTGTCTAGGGACATGGTGTGTGGTCACTGGGTCAGATTTGTGCCTCTTTTTCCAGGTGGTTTCTATGGCTTAGACAATGGAAAGCATCTGGAAAACTGGAGTCAACTGGTGAGGGTGGCCTGTGACTTGACCAAGTGACCATCACTGTGGTCCTCATTGATACTAGACATCCTTCCAGGGAAGGAGAGAGCCTGAGAGCTCCTCTGCTTTCCCTTAGTTCTGTACCTTTATTTTGAAGCCTCAAGAAGACATTACAGATTTTAAGGCATTGTAAACACCTGATGACTTAGCATTCCCCTTTTCTCTTATAATCTTTATGCGTGATGTGTTGGTTTTCATTATTATTTTACCACAAGATTGAATTGCTGAAAAGGTATCAGCCTGCATCAGACAAATTAAAAGCACAGCACAAAGGTCACATCTTCTGCCTGAGTTAAAAGAGACTGTTCTTCAGCTGTGGAAATTAATACCTCTGTTACATTCTGAGCAACAAGGCTTTGAGGGAAAGGTTCCTTTCCTCAGAGCATGCTGCCTGCAGCCAGTTAAAGAGATGAAAAGCAGCTCCTCGGAGCATATGCTCCAGCCCTAAGGGGTGTTTTGAACAGCATTTTGGTTTGCTGCACAAACCAGTCCCGTAAAATACTACACAACACATGGGAGTTCTGCACAGCGACAGCCCTGCCCTCTCTTTGCTGTGTGCCTCTGACACACGCTGTTTTTCTGCCCATCTGAGGCTTTTCTGCCTTTTCTGTGTGTGACGTACTTTGCCATGATTCACATGTGCCACAATTTCTCCAGTGTCCTCTTGTGTTTCTTTGGAATACATCTCATTTTGCTCCTGTTATCTACGTTTTCAAAATGCAAAGAATGGTTATAGCATCAGGGGGCAGATATGCCCAAGTCCCAGTTTATCTACTACAAGCAGCTTCTCATCCAAAGGTATTGTGTGGATTAATGAAAGACTTTTTATTGCAGGAACTAAATGTTCTGACATGCCAGAAATGTCCAAGCGCTATTATGCTCCACTCAAAGGACCTTTCTTTAAAGAAAAAAATGATAATTTTATGCCCCTGCAGTGGAACCACAAGTACCATTTCAAACCTTGTCCATAATTAGGTGCTCTTTCAGGTTTCTCTGGCAGGAATGGACCTAATTTACCTAGTAAAGTGAACATTGGCTGTCCCAGACGACCAGGTTGAACATACAATATCCATCAGTATACTTGGTTTGACATCTCAACAACTGTGCTAGGAAGAGGGAAAGAAGGAAATTCATATGAAGTATCTAAAACCCACACTTTCCTTGGATTCCAGTTGAAGTGTCTGTATAGCCAATGCATTCACAAAAGGCTCACAGCCCCAGCTGAGCTCCGAAAACCAAGGGGAATTCTGTCAATGACTTCCATAGAAAGAAGATCGAGCATCCATGAGCATCCATAAGCTTTGTGTGCTGCACACCTGTACAGGGCTGAGTCCCAGATAGCACAGTGCTCTCTGAAAGAGCCAGCCCATGAAGTCTCTAAAGCTTGGTTGCCCACAGAAAA